TAATGATAATTGAGATAATTTCAAATTTCATAAACATCAAACTGCTGACTGTTGTGGGAGGTTTGCTTCTAATTCGTTGACAATCCGCCTTGGGCTTGATTATGATGAAGTAGTCGATTGGATAGTTTCCATGAAAATCCGATTAGTTCGCGAAAAAAGCGATACAGTCGTTGTTGATCAGATGAAGCAGTGTTTACATACTTACTTTTAGTAAAATTTAGAAGAAAACCAGTGAGATAAACAATCTAACATGAAACTATTTGCACAAAAATGTCTTTCATGATAGTGTTACTCTGGCTGATACTAACGTGCTTCCGCTCGCAATACAAGATTCGGTAAATCAATGAAGGTAAACAGCTTCCAGTTACTTATAGGAAAAAGAGGGGATAAAAACTGGATCTTGTGCTTAAGCAGAATGCGTTGATAGTCATCTTCGTTACTGTATGAGTAGAATGACGTTCCTAGTCTGGCTACAATTACTATCACAAAGATGCTCCCAGGCAGATGAAGGCGCCAGAAAGCATACGATGGTGCTTTTGCTAGTGTTTTCTCCCTTCATATTTGGTTCCTCTGTTCTAGGAAGCATATTTAGACTTCCAAGTACTTATTTATGGATTGGAAAAATCACTAAGAAAACACTTACAGCGACTCCTTCATGTCTACAAGTAAAAGAATGCAACAAAATGAAAATACTTGTACATATGAACTTGATCACCACATCAATCGGCAAGGCTATACATTATTACTAGATAGCGAAAAGTCGGATGCCCACGCAGACACACATAAAAAAACAGACACACCTTGGAGTGGTATGCAGTGCTTTCGGCAAAATACGAACATCACCAACAAAAATCTAGCTTCACTTAGAATTTTGCTGCTCAACTGATATCTTCTAAAAACTGATTTCTTACAGTGGTCGGTCTTTGATGCGCCTGCCAACCGCGTGTTCGAGCATCTTTCATCATTACGATTCAAAAGCTAACTTCCAAGTTGATCACGAGCTACTGCGGAAATTCTCAGCTTTTGCACACTATCTTCGCCAGCTTCAGCTTACAACCTACCCAAGCCTTAACATGAGGGTGGCAAATGGACATCGGCAAAACGACTTCGCCTTTGCTACTACCGATTTTTGCGATTCCACTTGATCCCGCAAGCAGTGTAGGATGTAGTGCTTCACGGATCAGCGTCGTTGCTATTCCGGATCCTAACAAGGAGGAGAAGAGGAGTTTCGGAACCAAGATGTTTATATACTAAACTTTAGGTGTATAATTTATAAAAAAATTGAAACTTATGTGAAGCAGACGTTTTGCCTACCGCAGGTAAGCATCGGGTGGGTAATCATCCACCTAATCTAGAAAAAAGTTGAGCACGCTCTTCATTCACATAAGATTTTCATAGATTTCATACTTTGTTCTTCAGTTCTACCGCGCGCACACAGACCAATTTCGTGTCATAACGTCATCTGTGCATTGCAGACGAGCCATTTCTCCATTTTCTGGTAACTAGAAATTTTCGGAAAATGCGTGCCCCAAGCTTCAGTCAAACTAATTTTTTCTTGGAACTTCTCAGTTAACAGGCCCGCGTCCGTGTAAGCACCAAGTGTTGTGCCATATTGTCACCTGTGCATTGCAAACGAGCCAATTTACATCTTCACTACCACTTATGAGAATTTTGACGAAAACGCCGCAAACTATCCAATCACATAAGTTTTTCATGATTTTTGGCACCTTTTCCCCACTAGCCTACGTTCGTTCACACGCAAATTGGTGCCATATCTTTACGCACACATTGAGAACTAGCCATGTAACCGATGTTAACTAGTCAGTTAACCGATGCAAGTCTGTCCCAGACTTGCATCGGTTAAGCGACGTCGTGCGTGCGGCAGTCAGCGACGGCGCATTTCAACGCGCGCGAAAGTCCAGTCTATGGGAAAGAGCCTAGAGTCGTTTGCCATTTGAACTATCAACTTTTTTTCCGGACTCCATCCCGAAACCCGCAAAGCGATATCTCCTTTGTTTTTTTTTTGCTCAAAACGATTTCCAGCTTGTCACTTTCCCATCTCGTGTCGGGCCCTGGACCTACCACGAAATTACGGAGCGTGGCATAGCCGCCGCGGTCGACCTGACGGTCGTGTTCAGGCGGTATTCTCAAGCATGGAAGGATGGGCGTTTTTGAGTCTCCTCAATGTCCTTGAAGGAGGATAGACTGTTCACCCACAGATGTAAGCGAGAAAGTCAGTTCAGTGCTTACGGGGAATTTCCTATGAACCTGCAATATGTTGGTTATTCCTAACAGAAAATTTCATTTCCAAACCGTTCCAGATCAGACACGCACATATATACGCATCGCGACGGCATGAGCCATAGGCTACTTTTCGTCTGAGGTCGATGTTGGTCTATGTATTTGCAGCAAACAATGAGCTATGGGGCTGAGACTTGGTGAAGCGGGGTATGTGAGCACATAGATTACGGAAACAATGTTACTCTAAAGATGACTAAAATAGTCATCAATGTAGACTAGGGACCTTGTAGCATCAGCACTCACAACACTCATCATGGGAATCTTGTGTTGGCAAAGATACACATATATAGGCTCATCCAAAACAAAACCAAGAGAAAACAGCGGATCAGAAAAACCGACGCACGTCATATCATGACATTTCGTAATGATTATTCATGAATGCACTTTCGCAGAGTTCGCTTATATAGTATTTTTCCGACATATCTTCTTTTCTTTCCTTCCCTATACATGAACTGTCTTCATTACAGATCCACTGTGCTGCGAATGTGCTGAAATTCTGCTCTATTTTATCTCAAGCATCGCATGGGGTTATAAGCACCCGCCCATGGCAAAAATGCACTTTTTCAAAGACTCACAATTAATTCAGTCTGGTTCTTCTAAGTCAAACTTCAAAGCACCCTAAAGCCTCATAATTCCTCTTAAGGTGTTCAGCAGATATGTAAACCTGAGATCAGCTATCGAAAATACTTTCGATTCAGTGGAGTATCAGATTTGTCGGTAAAGTATAGCGTCGTTGCGGTGCCGGAATTTTGTGCAAATATTTGCGGTTGAAGAAATAGCTTAAAGGCAGTGTCCAAGCTAAATGTAACCCCTCCGATCAATACCAAATCCTGAATGTATCCAGGAGAGGAATAGCGTTGGTCCGGTCCTCTAATGTTGTATCTGATTAAAGATAATGGGCCTGAAACAGCGAAAGTGCTATCAAGCCACGTCCAGATCCTATCAAGCCCCGCCCATTCGTGTGCTGAAAGCCGTTCACGTCCTCAAGATAGGGTCACCAGGAATCGTTTTTTAGGGGGGGGGAGTGGACAATTCGAACTCTATAACTGTAATCAGGGCCACGGAAAGGCTTGAGAAATGGCAAAAACATGAGAGGCGAAATATTGGGTGGACGCTGCCTTTAAATGCCTAAAATGCCAGGTTTCAAGCGCGAAAGTTCTTCGGCTAGGTGAGTTCCCTCGCCCGTCCGAACGGCCACAGTCTCCTGCCTGTTCCTCTCAGAATCATAAGATTGGCGAACAATCTCGCAGCGCCTTGAATTCACAAAATAACACAGCCACGTGTTTTCTTTATCTTTTCTTTATCTTTTTCTTGTTTTACGATTTCCGAATTATCACATAAATTCTTCCGTAGCGCTTGATATTATTCAAAAGCACATTATCATATAAGCACAAATACACGGTGTCTGTGTTTATTCTATCTTCACGATCAGCAACAGGAGCTTTCGATTTGAGTGCGTAGAATGCTAGAATATACTGTGAGTTTTTCCCTTCGCAGTGTGAGTGCTCGAATACAATACATGCTTTTCGGATCGTACTTTTGACAGCCTTATTCCGCACTTCCGTTGCTGGCAGAATTGGATTGGATACGATACGGGTCAGGATAAATTTTACCCTCTATGTACGAATGAAACTACCGCTGATTGACACAACCTAATTCTTCTTCTGAGCCATACAAAAATGAGAGCCATATCAACTCTTAATAAAAGACGACTATCTTTACGATTTGAATACCTTATCATCATATATTACACATCGCAGTAGAAGCCTTTATGATCATAGAACAAAAAAGTGCGACCGAAATCTTTCGGCAGTTCCTCCTTACATTGTGATGACGTTTTTATGACAAAACCTCTAATGTTAAGGGCAGCGTCCGGGCAAAATCTCGAAAGGAATTTTTTTCGCTCACCTGAGCACTATGTATCAATCGCCGTCCAGATAAGGGTTCTCATTCGGGTAGCATCCGCTTCATAGCTCGATGCTCTGGGGATTTGTGTTGAATCCTTGTTTGTCCATCTTTTGGAGGCCCTATTACGCTAATACTGTAGCATAATGAATAGCAGTCCTTTGTTGTATAATCTAAGATTTTCGGTGTTTTGTATGATTCCGAACGGGATTCTCAGGGAATCACGGCTCTCATTTAAAGTCATTTATCTTTGCAAATACTCAATGAAAACTTCGTAAAGTTATGCTGTTGATCTATCACGACAGTGCTGAGCATTTTTGTGGAAGTAATAAGTGAAAACTTGAGTTGACGAAATCATCGATGAATCTCTGCTTGCGAAATGGGATCTACTAAAAAAACTCGAAACTTTCATATATCATCTGTGCTACTGGAAACATGCATAGCACTATCGTAATAAGCCTTCAGCACAACTTTACGACGCTTACATTGAGTTTTTGCAAAGATAAATGACTTCGAATTAAGCCGTGATCCCTGAGGATCCCGTTCGAGATTATACCAAATACCAAAAATCCCAGCTTACGCAGGAGATTGCTGCTATAGTGTGGACCCCGGCCAGCTTCCCATAGGTACCAACGCGACGCGCACGCAGCGCACGCCTCTGCTGCCTTCGGCGAGCTTTCTTTTTGGGGTCTAAATGATTGTATTTGTTTTCTCTCTTGTTTATCGTTGTTTTCCATAATTCCTCTATTCCAGGTATGGCCGATCGAGACAATGGACCCTAACTTCAACGTTAGAAGAAAGCGTTGTTCGTTCTTACGTTTCCTCTTCGCTAAAAGTTGGTGTTTTCGATTAATCTCGAGAGGTTCTTTCGTTCAAATCTCTTCCACAAAAAAACGAATATCTATGGTCGATTTTGATTGGTGCTTCTATCGTCTCAGCCTTAGAGAGGTTCCCGCTGCCTTTCGATCTTCGTTTAATCAAATGCGCTTGTGTTTGAGTTAGAATGTCTGGATTTTTCTATGCTCATCATATTGATTTGTTGCAAAGGTTACTTTCTTGTTCATAGTAAGCTAACTCCAATTGCTCCTGCATGTAAAAGTTCCAAACAGTCATCGAGGCTCGCACAAAGAAAACGTGAGAACGAGCAACGCTATCTTCTAACTTTGAAGTTAGGGTCCATTGTCTCGATCGACCATACCTGGAATAGAGAAATTATGGAAAACAACGATAAACAAGAGAGAAAACAAAAAACAATCATTGAGACCCCAAAAAGAAAGCTCGTCGAAGGCAGCAGAGGCGTGCGCTGCGTGCGCGTCGCGTTGGTACCTAAGGGAAGCTGGCCGGGGTCCACACTACATATATATCAGTGGCGTACCCAGGATTTCGGCTCGGGGGGGGGGGGGGCGCGACAAAAAAAATTCTCTAATGAAGGTGCGTGGCGTTAGCCACGCACTCCGAAAAATTTTTTGGAGTGTTTCTCAAAATTTTTCCAGGCCCCTGACCCCAACCCCGGAAAAAATTTTTTTACAAAGCTAATTTAAATTTTTGAAAAATGTTAAAAACTATTTTAATTATTTACAAGTAAAAACAAGTCCTCTGCACATTTTTATAACACATTTAAGTAACTTCCAAAAATTTCGCGACCCATTACTTAAATGTATTATAAAAATGTGAAGAGGACTTATTTTTACTTGTAAATAATTAAAATAATTTTTAAAAATTTTAAAAAATTCAAATTAGCTTTGTAAAAAAAATTTTTCGGGGGCGTGGCTGCAGCCACGCCCCCGAAAAATTTTGGGAAACATCCCAAAAAAATTTTCGGAGTGCGTGGCTGACGCCACGCACCTTCATTGTAAAAAAATTTTTGTCGCCCCCCCCCCGAGCCGAAATCCTGGGTACGCCACTGATATATATATATATATATATATATATATATATATATATATATATATATATTAGGTTGTCCCGAAAGTTTTGTCGGTTTTTTCAGATCACTATAAGACCACGCGCAATGAAGGCCTGAATGAGTTTCAATATGCATTCTGTTGTGTCCTCCGCGTCGGACACGTCGACTCTTCGTCCTGAGGCAGCACACGAGGAATAGAGAATATTTATTAGAAAATAATAGAAGGACAGTAAAATAAAAGAGGCGATGAGTGAACAGTCGAACTGACAATGGCTAACAGCGAGCGCCTTTTATAGCGCTCATTTCCCGCGCATTGAGGTCGCAGGCGCCTCAGCGAGGGCAGATCATACGAGAAAACAACTGATCAGACATTAACACAACACCTCCCCCAGTAGGGTAGTTACACAAAACTAGCCTACGATAAAAGCATGAACTATAAATATGAACAGCTAAGAAATCGATTACACATAGACATCGCTATCATTTAAACTAACAACTAAACTAACTAAACAACTACAAATCTAATGAAACAAACATACGATAACATGCTATGGACTAGGTTGGAACCGTTGTACCGGTCTTCTCGTTCTGCTCGACCTGCGAAGCGTTGTCGGTGGCGTGGAGGGCTCGTGGCTTGATGTCGACGTCGATGTCGTTGAATCCACGGGTGCTGGCGCATCGCTTGCGATCGCTTGTTCGGAACACTCTTCAGCAGCATTGCCATTCCTCGATAGTGTGTCGTCTTCTGTCAGAACATCTAACAGTATCTTCAAGGCTTCGGATTGTTGTTTAAGTTGCTGTTGAACGGCAAGTTGTTCGCCGTTGCTTCTATGCCGAAGCTGATTTGCGTGCTTCTTGCAGACTTCATTTCCAACCATTACTTCACAGTTGACGCGTCCAATACGTCTCATCACCGTCCCTTTCATCCAGTGGAAGTGGGGTGGCTTCCACTGTTTAGCGTAAACCAAGTCACCAACTTCGAATTCCTTTCGAACGACTCCATGCTTCTGGTCGAACTGATCCTTCATGCGCTCCCGTCTCCTTCGTGCGAGTGGGTCTTCTGCATCTTCTGTCATTGGGAGTAACAGACTTAATTTTGTGCGCAAGTTTCTGCCTAGAACAACTCCGCTGGCGTGTTGTCGTTTAGGTTCGTATTTGGTGTTGTCCTATACGCTTGTAACACCACGTTCAGAGTCTCTTCTGTTGGCCTCTCCTCCCCCTCTAGTTTCTTGATTCCGCGTTTCAGCGTATCAACGAAACGCTCTGCTTGTCCATTCGATTGAGGGTGGTACGGAGCAGTCCTTATGTGGGTGATTCCACCTTCGTCGCACATCTTCTTGAATAAGTCCGATGTAAACTGGGTACCATTGTCGCTCACTATTGTTTGCGGTAATCCATACCTTGCAAACAAGTTCTTCAGGGCCTTCACCGTCTTCGCAGCCGAGATATTGCTCATCTCGATCATTTCAGGCCATTTGCTGTAGGCATCTACCACGACCAAGTAGAAGACTCCTTGCATGGGTCCAGCGAAGTCGATGTGTATCCTCTGCCACACTCGAGTCGCAGATGGCCATGCTTCTAATGGTACTTTCGTCGGATTCTTGGCCAATTCCTGACATTTCGTACACCTTCGTACCAAATCTTCGCAATCCTTGTCTATATTCGGCAGTAGACGTAACTTCGAGCCAGTTTCTTCATCCTTACTATCCCTGGATGACCAATATGCAGTTCATTCAGAACATTTCTTCGAAGCTCCTTGGGTATCACAACCCTTTCGGCTGACATCAGACACTGCTCCACAACTGACAATGTCTCTCTTCGATTTCGAAAATGTGCCAACTCTCCATTGACGTCTGGCCACTGTCCTTTCTTCACGTAAATCATCACTCTTTGTAGCATTGGGTCCTTCTTAGTATAGGATTGCACATCCGATACCGTCACTGGCAATTTCCTTATGCAATTCTTCAACATGAAGTCCACGTCGTTCTCAACGGCAGCTATCACGACGTCTTCTTCGTTATTTTGACTCTTCTTCATCAACCGTGACAAGCCATCTGCTTGTCCAAACTTCGTAGTCTTGACATACTCTATATCAAAGTCATATCCAAGCAGTATTGTAGCCCATCTCATGAGTCGGTTAGCGGAGTAGACTGGAACTCCTTTCTTATCACCGAAGATGGCTAACAATGGTTGATGGTCCGTCAGAAGTAGAAATTTTCGTCCGAATATGTACTTGTGGAATTTCTTGACAGCAAAGACAATTCCCAATGCTTCCTTTTCGATCTGCGAATAGTTCTTCTCCGCTTTCGTAAGAGACCGCGATGCATGTGCAATTGGCTTTTCGGATCCATCAGGATATCTGTGCGATATCACGCATCCAATTCCATAATCGCTGGCGTCCCCTGCCACGACGATCTTCTGTCTTGGATCATAGTGAGCAAGATTGAGCTCACTTGACAATGTATCCTTGAGCTTTTCGAAGGCTTCTTGATGTGTTCGTGTCCATAACCACTTCGCATCTTTTTTGAGCATCGCGTCCAATGGCCCACGAAGATCCTTGATCTTTGGCATAAACGCTGCATAGTACGTTATCATGCCAAGAAAAGCTCTCAATTGATTAACGTTCTTCGGCTCATCCATCTTCTTGATTGCTTCGATCTTCTCTGAGTTTGGCCTTCTGCCATTTCGATCTACTATGAAGCCAAGATATCGTATCTCTGGCTTGCCAAAAGAGCACTTCTCTAAGCGAATCCTAAATCCATAGTCGGCTATCCTTGCAAAAACA